AAATTACGTATATTATGGTTTTTTGTATTTGAATTTGCCGCTTTATATAGATTATATTAACGTTAAGTAGCTCATCCAGTACATATACAGACTATAGTGATATACTAGTTAAAAATATGTTCGCCATTTTCCAATATGGCTGACAACTTTGTTAGTCCTATGGAATACCCTGTATTTTATGATTGTTTTAGAATGTAAACGCACAATTTTTAAACCTCTTTATTCTTGACATTTTTCTCTAAAGCTACTTGTTTAGGAGTTACATCGAAGAAGAAATGGTTTGTGAGCACATCCTGCATCCTGTAGCTCATAAACGAGTAAGTTCAAGAGCGAAAATACAAAGAATAAACAAGTTTTCAAATCACATCTACATTTTAAAAAAACTATAAAATAAATTGTTCCAATAACAAAGTAAGCTACCGTTTTTGAAAATGGTGGCCATTTTTAAAACAACAAAATCAGTATTTTTTAACGTATTTTATATATGTTTTTGAACGAGGACTTATATGTGACTTATTTATTCTTTGCACTTTCTCTCTCAACTTACTCGTTTATGAGCTACAGGATGCCGAATGTACACCACAAGCCTTTCTTTTAGATATAACACGCTGTAACTCCTAAATGGGGTAGGTTTAGAGAAAAAATGTCACGAATAAAAAAATAGCTTTTAAATTCTAAAATAATACTAAAATACAGCGTATTCCATAAGAAATAACAAAGTTGTTGGCCATATTGGAAAATGGTGGATATATTTTTTTATTCGTAACCATCCCTAAAAACATTTTTTACAAACAAAGGGGGTCGTCTAATAAAAAGTTAACTCTATATGGAAAATAAAATGTATGTATGTCCACTATGTAATCTCAACCGGGATGAAACGTGTACCCTTTTATAGCAGAATGTCCAATTAAAAAAAAAGATACGTCAATTTTGGTCCAACAAGTTATATTTAAATGAATATGAGTTTTTTTTTTTTAATTTTTAAATGGCAAAGATTGGTGGGCACTTGGAAATTATCTCAAAGGGGCGTGGAGTAAAGGGTGGGAATTGATAATGGAGTTTAATTATTAAATTTAAGAATTGAGATATCAATACAAAAATGGGAAAAATCTATGTAATTTAAAAAAATTATAAAATATTATTTGTTAAGTATCTATCAAAGTAAATTATAAAAGTAACAGGTTTGTTTTATGAATTATTAACTGTTTACAAGAGAAATTCTGATTCTCAGTAGGCTACATTTAAATTTTATTATTCATTCAATTGTTATCTGATCTGTATTACTATGTAGTGCTATTTGTGTATATTCTGTAGTTGAAATCAGTTTATTTCATGAATAATTGTATGTGATTCATAGAATTTTTTTAAACTGTTTTAAAATATTTTAAAATCAGTGTGTCTAACACAAAACAGACGGTCTTTGACCATTGTTCTTTGCATTTAAATAAAAAAAACACTGTATTGATATTTTATTACAATGAACACATTTTCTTCTTCTTCTTCTTCTTCAGAAATCTATAATAATTCTTTTTAAATATTTATTTATCTAATAATTATTTTTGTAGATTATCGTAACGCAAAATGATTAATAAAAGATTGCATTATTATCCTTACCCGTTTTAAAGTTATAGCTTAATTGCTAAGAGGCTGTAAATTTATCTAAAAAGGGGGGTTAGAGGAAAGCACAAGGGGGGAGGAGTGTTGACTTTCGGGAAAATGATCATCTCAACATGGTCTAACAGCATAGAAAAATTCAGCTTTCCCATAGTTACTTACAACATCAAACCTATATTGATTGTGGGCTACGTAGCATCCATGCGCGCCTCGATACTACTATGAATTTTCCACGTTTACTCTTACTGAAATTAACGTAGCTCTGTTGTTTTTCACAGATTTCTTTAAACTTGGTGCTGTTGTACTACTTGTTAGTTTTTCTAACCATAAATAGTTTGTAACATGCCCTAAACAAGCGCAATATTTCCGATATTTCATTTTAAATTATTTTTAAATCTAATTTTTTGCAATAAATGTTGATTAGCGCCTAAAGTATAAGAGATAGAAGAAAGGTTGTAATGACCTTTTTGAAGGATAATATATTTAGGCGTAGATAGACGCTTAATTCACCTTTCTATCATTAACCGTTTGTGAGTTAGACGCGGAAACGTAAACTGATGACCCACGCAACTTCCCCCCCTCCCCCCCGAGTTGTGACCACCCTAGAAATGCGACATCATCGATTTTTTTCATCTACTAAATGTCCCCAACAATAATCAAAAGTCAAATTTTGTCAGACTTTCAGTGCATACTCAACCCGTTTGGCGCCTGGACTAATAATACATTTGAATAGGAATAGTAAATAAAATATGATTTCTAAAACTATTCGATACATTTACACCTGTACTATTGTACATTTGCATGGCGGTAAATATCAATAATTATTGAAGTTTCAATAGCGATTGATTTCGACTCATATCGAATTTGAACTCATTTAATATTTATATATCACAGGGTGTTCTAGGAGTTTTTAGTTTTTCAAAAATTGGTTTTTTATGTGTTTACCCCTACTACATAAAAATGACAAATTATCATTACAGCCACTGTGTAGAGCTTAAAAACATATAATCTTGAATATTGAAGCGTTATTGTAGGATTTGAGGTTGAGGAGAATATTAAAAAATGTACATTTAAAATTCCCATGTTGTTCTTATGGAAAAACTGTCATAGTTTAGTTTATCAAATTTGGTAAATGTATTTATTTCAACTTACACTATCGACTTTTGATTAACAAAATTTGTCTTCCCTTTCCAAAGCAGAATACCTAAAAAACAGGTTAAATCTAAAGTTTTTTTAGATAGGGAACAAATATGATTTGTCTATGGAAACATTTTAGTAAACATCCAATCATACAAATTGAAATTCGATTATTCTGCATGTTTTCTGTGGTGGGGGTATATGGAAATGATTTGATCAATTTGGCATATTTATGTATTCAATTCCTACATTTCACATTTTACTAAAAATCCTCATATTATTAGCACATTAGTACATTTGAGCAGTAAACTAATTTAAAGTACTCGTTAAAGGTAATGTTATTTAAACAGTGAATCAATCCGACATGTTCAAGGAAATATTTTAGTGAAAATCCAATCAGGCAAATGGAAATTCGCTTAGTCTGCATCTCTAGTTGCGGCGGGGGTATTTTCAATTTAGATTATTGGACTGGGTGTGGGTGGCAAATGGGACCGATTGTAAAGGCAACTATTCTGGTTCACCTTAGTGAGTCAACTCATGAATAACTCGTATCAAAAGACTTGAATTTCACCGGCTCAATTTAGTTTTCTTCTTCTTCTCAGTCATATCACAGACTTTGAGAGTTGTATGATATAACATTAGTTTTATAACTATAGTTATAACTTATATTACTGTATAGTTATAGTTATAGTTAAAACTTATATTATAGTTTTATAGTTATAACTATAAAACGGGGGCACTAAATGATGGATAAGATAGTAGCTCGGACGGAGAGCAACTTCAGTCCAACTATCTAATCTGATTTTTGGTAAGCAACCATGGTGAAAGGGTAAGCAGCCATAAAGCATAAATACAGTACTAATGATTTATACTTAGTGCCACCATTTATACTTACTATATTGTCTAAGGAAGTATGTGCCGGTACTGATTTCTTACCGGTATTTTTTATCTAGTCAAAGCAAAGATATATGGAGATGAATAATCAATGATAAAAGACTTATTGTAGTCCAATGAGTCTATTTTCCAGTTTTTGATATGTGTATTTGTCACCCTTCGTTTTTTAAAGCTAGGTCGGTTGGAAACAACAATGTATCCTATTATAAAAATGAAGTCTGTTTTTAATACTGTTTCACGTCCACTTACGCTCGAGTTGCTAGTGGCTACTATAAATGGTTCTATATCTTACATTAAAGTAAATTTTATTAAATTTCTAAACAGAGATGCGATTTCGCCGAAACATGGACTCAAAGTTACTATCATTAAAAACACAAAAAAATAAACTTCCGATTTTACAAGAGTGAGAAATTATACTTAAGTCCATGATTGCACTTCCACCCAAACATTAGACAGTTTTACAAACGTTAAATAATATAAAAAAAACAGCAAGTTGATAATCCAGTTAAAATAGTGAACTGTATACTACACATGAAATTGTAGTGTTCTGAGTGTTCTAGGTGTATGTTTATTAAGGTTGAGTTTTAGTTTTACTTATTCTGTGTATATTTATTATTTGTGGTCAGTGTGGCGAAAAGTATAGCAAGCGACTTATGCGGTTGTATATGTAGAGAGTGTAGACGGTACCCGCATAAAATTCCGTACTCGGCAAGCTACGCACAGGAGTGTAATCCTATAATTCCGAATGATTTTGGTTTCCAAGTACTTTTTAGTTTAGTAGGATCAGAGTTACCATTGCAGAATGTTTTTTGTTCATTCAATTTTGACGTTTCTCTGAATTCATTGGTGACTGTATTATTTGTTTACCAGCACTGGAGGCTGGGGGGCTGCTGAGGAACTTTTACTCTTGTAGTTATGAATACCGTATTCATAAGTGTTGAGAATGTTGAGATAGATTTTGTTTAAGCTCAGATTTATGTTTCGCACCCTCATGGGAACTTGGGAACTATGCTCGTACCTACTTCCTGGCATTTTAGCGTACTACAATTACAGAAAGAATCCTTACAAGACAATGTCAGAACGTATCATCATATATTTTTGGTACGTAAGACTGTTATAACAAATAATTATTGGGAGAATAATATAATCTACGGTGTAAATTAGCTTACACCACTTGCGTCCGAGTCGACTCCGCGATTCGTTCAAATAGTTCAGATCGTTTCTGAATCCTCCATCAGATTCAATGAACTGAACTGAAACTGGGAAACAGTGAAACTGAAACGGAACGGACAGACGACAGAAGAGAAGAAGGAGAAGGGAGAAGGCTAATAAAACTGATGACAGGCAGAGGCAACTCGAACTCAGTGACAACAAAAAATATTATTACACAGCCCTTCTTTTAGATATTAATATTAATTTATATAGCCCTATTTCACAAGTATTCCGTTTCATGTTAAAATCTGTATTCTTTTTAACCATATAGGCCTAGTTAATAAAATATATGAATGAATTCCCGTTGGTGTTTGTAAAATGTAAGAATGTAACATCTCGGGCAAAAGTTTAAAATACTTCAGGGCCTATTACATTTTACCGCAATCAGTGGGCCAACCATTTCCCAGCAGGTAAGGTATTTTTTCTTGATATTCAATATTGAGAAATGTGTTTTATTTGTCGACATGTAATCAAACAATCGGTGTAGCCTACTGTATTACCTGGAAAATATTTGTAGCCAATTTCTAATTTATACTTACTTAGAGGCTAGGACCTAACCCTATGTCATGACTAGGCCAAGTTTGAGTGATGATTTAGGCCACTAGGCAATTCCACCACAAGCTTGTTAAAACTGAAAATGGGCCGCAGTTTACTATGAAATAGGGACAGATTGGCGATTGTCTTTTTAAGTTACTTTTCCGACTAAGTTATCTTGGCCTATTTACCTAAATACCGAACCAAAAGAAATCGGTATTTTTTAAATCCATCAGTTACTCTGTATCATAATTTTGCCAACCAAATCTCATTATTTTATTTTTTTCAAACGACTTACCCTAACTTTAATTTCATTTTAGATCCATAAGCAATACCTAAGTTTAGGCCTATCTACAATTTAAGTACAGCAAATCATAGGCTAAGTAACTTACCACTTATAAATAGCTTAAGTTTAAGACAATAATAACTTAGGTTTTTACATACCTTCGTCATTATGACGAACATTATGATAGGGCTATCTAAATGATTTTTACGTAGGCCTATAGCCTATTCGCATCATTTTATTGTTTTTTGTGTTCGTGTCTTCTGTGTTTCAATTGTGTTTATGATGAGTTGCAAGCTTTGAAAATGTTGTCCTTCGCAACAAAACATTTAAGCTGATGAGCAATATTAATTGTTGGACTATTTGACGGAGGTATGTAAACACGAGTGCCGTCATCCTGTAATCCAGCTACTAGGAGGTCTTGAATTGTGGATATTTATAGGCATGCACTGTGGATGCGATACTCCCTGGTGTGGATTAAACGTTTGCACGAGTGAGTACTACGACAAGACCAATTTGTATATACCAAGGCAAAAATGTGGTTCGGATTCCACTATAAACTGTAGGTCCCTTAGTTTCCATTAGCTGTATGGGCTATTAATTTAACAGCTGTGTCTAGGGAATGTCGGCCTTAGTCACTAACAAGACTACAAGATCGCGCCACTCATCCTACACTTATCTCCTTTCATGCTTGGCTTAAAATACTGAACTCTGATTTTATAACTGCTTAAAATACTAAATTAAACAGTAAACAACAATGGTGGGGGACAACAATGAATACTTTTCCTACTTTGTATGGTCGCCATTTAATAAGAAAGTAGCCTACAAAGAAAGTATTATCTATTATTGTCTTAACAAATAGTCCAAGGGCCAGAAAAATGGATTTTGAACATAAGTTTAACTTTTTCTAATTGTCAATTGAAATTTTGAGTGGGGAAGGCTCCACTTGAGCTGACAACAAATTTGTCTTGACTGAGTTTGAGAGAATTTACAAATAAGTTAAGAGGTGTTACGGTAACTGACTATGGTTATCTGAATCTAATTGAAAAAGACCAAAAGATTATGTATGTTTTTCCGGGAACCATATCAGTTTTTCCAAACAGTCCTAATTAAAAAGGAAAAATTTTGTACTAGCTGTAAGTTGTATAAGCCCATAAAGCCTTACTTGTAAGATTTTCCATTTTTCTACTTAGGCCTATATACACTGAATAACTATAAACCCGCTTACTGTCCGCGAGAGTAAAGAAGTCCCCTGAGCTCCGGCCTATTCGTAGTTTGAAGGCGTTACGCTTGAACGTTTCGTGCGACAATTACTGTAGAGCCGTCTTGACGCTGGTCTGCTAGTTTTAAGGCTTAATTTTTATATTTAGGCCTAATATCTGTAAGTTTTTTATAAATCTGTCATAATATTTTTTTCCATAGTCATACAATCGAAGGAAACCCATTTTCTAGTGTTACTAAGGCAAATTAATAACCTTTCTACTATATGATTTTTGTTTATCCATTAATTAGTTAATCCATGAATATACTTATGGTGAATGCATATTACCGGTAATACACGAGTGCAGCAGTTTCAATAGCATTCATCGCAATAAACAACTTATTATTAAAGTTATTAATCCTATTACCATAAACCTAAGCAAAAAATCAAGAAAACAAGCAAAACCCCTTAGTTTGACCCAATGTCTACGAAAATCACGCGGTTTGACGCGTTCACATCAGGTAACACGCCATCGACGTCTATACTTTACCAACATTTCTGGAACGTTAAATTACCATCCATCCAAGTTTCGTCTAGATAGAAAATTTTCCTTTTTTGTTCCCTTAGCTTTTTTATCTCTCGCATACTTAAACCTCCAATTAACAATGCCAAGCCTTTCAATCAAACATTTTCTTTTAGGACCAAATTTCTTCCACCTGAACCCCATATATCTTTTAAGAGACGCCGAAGTGCCCATTCGCTCCATTTAAAATTAATTCTTTCTCTCAAAACAGGTAATAATTTTTTACATGTAGGGACATTTTTTTCGTTCTTGTAAAAATTGTGTATTACATCTACAGTTACACGCCTATCAAAACTATCTATTTGTACTTTATGGTGGTCAGCCTTCTTGCGTTTTTTCCCGGGTGTACAGAGTTCTTCATCCGGAGTTTGTTTGCCGGCTTTTCTAATTCGTTTAATAGTTTTTTTATGAAACTTTACAATCGTTTGCGGCACGTTATGTTGCCTATTCTATCGGCACTAATAACTTTTTGTCTTTACATTCGTTGTCACAAAACTCGATCACCCGTCTAATTAAATCCCTCTCTCCACTATGTATAGTAGCACCGCGTTTTCTTAAATCAATAGCTACAAGTACCGTCCAAAACAAAACGAACTCATTACGCGAACACACGAGACTGCACTGAATCAAATGACGTGACCACATGATGATAATCCACTTAAGAAAACAAAGATATGAGAAATTATGTTTACAACAGTTGTTTACAGACAGACAGACATCGAGGCGAGGCGCCCAGACGCTTAGCGCCTGCAAATAGTGTGCGATACCCTCCAAACTTAGCTGCGTATCGCTCTGGCTCAAGGGACTTCTTTACTCTCGCGGACAGTATGTTTGTTTTTACCCTCTGATGGGGTAGTTATGACCACCACCAAAAATTGATTTGTTGAGATAAAAAATATCTTGATTGCTAAAATATTAAAACATTATTGGTCATAATTTGAATATTTAAATTGAAGAAAAAAGAGTACCTAGTCATAATTCCCCCATCTGTGGTCAGAATCTGTAGGTTTGCTGCTGCGGAGGTATTTATATAAACTTAATTTTGGAGGATGGCCTTTTTTCCCACCCCAGAAACAAAATACTGGTTTGCACCCGCTGAAGAAAATTCCTGCGGGCACCCATTCCATTTGTTTTGTACAATGAAAAGAAATCTGTTGTGCTTTTTAAAAAAAACTTCAAAAGGAAGCAAACATGTGAGTTGCATTATTGAACGAGCCATACAGTACATCTGATTAAGATTCATTATGCAATTGTTGACTAACAGCCAGTAATGCCTGTGTTCCTATCGACAAATCTATAGATTTAGGGTCTTGGTCAGGTTGGTGTGAAACTTAAATGGTGAGTTCAAGTGGTGATATTAATTTTATCAAAGCCTTGTCTAATTAGTATATAAAACTAAAAACCTCTAGGATTTATTATAAATTGTAAAAAACGGTGCCTGAACTGATTATTGAATTTGTGTTTTTACATTTTTTCAGGAAGTACAACCTCTCATACAGACCAGAACGTGGTTTTCAAGATTTTCAATAAGTGATAGGAAAGGGATCTTAGGAAATAAACTTTATCCTCAGTTTGGATTTTTTAAGCAAGACTTATAACACATGTATAAAATTTCATTTGGTATTCCTGTGGTGAAGAAATAATTTACCAATGTAGATTACGGCATTTAGTTTTCATAAGTGAAAATAAAAAATATTGCTGCGGAAAAGATGGGAAGTCCTCTACCAATAGAACAGTCTGAAATGAGTGAAGTTTTAAATCTTCAGGATCAAAACTCAGCTGAGGTGGGGGACAACAATGAATACTTTGTAGAAGAAGAAATTAATGGTGTTTTGGAAGAAAATGAAGATGTTGATACGGAAGAAAAGTCAAGCTACATTTCTGAAATGGAGGAAGGCGGTGAAATTGTCACTTTAGAAGAGAATGAAAATAAATCTAGTTTAACAGAAGATAGTGAAGAACTGCCAGACTTAGAAGGGACAAGTAAAGATCCATCCAGTACAGAAGTAAGTAATTCTCTTGATGAGGAAAGTAATGTAGAGAACGGAAATCTAGAAGATTTATCTTACCTTACACAAATAAGCAATTTCTCCAACTTGAAACCTTTTACATGTGTTCTTTGTCAAGCAAATTTTTCCAACAGTTTCCGTTTAAAGCGACACCTAATGAGTCACGCTGGGATAAGGCCTTTTAAATGTGAGTCGTGTGATGCCTCATTCACCAACAAATATCACCTTCAGAGGCATACGATGACGCACACCGGTATAAAGCCTCATAAATGCCCAACTTGTGATGCACGTTTTGCTCAGAGCAACGGTCTCAAGCAGCACCTCCTTAATCACTTGGGGATAAAACCGTACGCTTGTCTTATCTGCGGAGCCAAGTTCGCCCACACCGGCTACTTGAACCAGCACATGTTGAGCCACACTGGTGAGCAACCCTTCCAGTGTCAATTGTGTGACGCAAAGTTCACCAGGAGTAGCAGCTTGAAACAACACATCCTGGTGCACGAGGGAACTAAACAGTTCAAATGCGACATTTGTGGCAAAGACTTTGTTCGTAACTACAGTCTCAAGCAACACATGCTGTCTCACAATGATATCAAGGCTTTCCAGTGCATTCTATGTGAAATGCGCTTCACAAACTCCAGCCACTTGAACCGACATTTGGTCACGCACACCGGCGCTAAACCGTTCAAGTGTGACATTTGTGATGCGGAATTTACACAGAGTGGGACGTTGAAGCGCCACAAACACGGGCACACTGGGGAGAAACCTTTTGAGTGCAAGCTGTGTGGCAAAAAGTTTGGCGAGAAGAACAATTTAAACAAGCACTTGCGGGTGCATGCCCGAGTACGACAGTTCAAATGCCAAGAGTGTGAGGCAGAGTTCACTTCAAACTCCAACTTGAAGCGCCACATGGTAAAACACCCGGACCACTTTGTTAGTGTTGAACAGAGTAACTAGTCTGAATCAACACAATAGTGTGACTAAACTACTATGTAACAAGAAAACTAGTCAAATGAAAGACAAGATGGACCTTTATAAAGAGTACGTTGAAGCCATACCTAGTCACAGATTTTATAATAACAGACAGTAGTGTAAATACTTGTGATAAGATGTTTTTATTTTTAAGAAATAATTGTGATTTTGTTTTCTTTGTTTTTGTTAACGATTTTACCAATTTTAGTAAAATAATTCAATAGCTCAGGAAAATATTCATTTTGTGTACGATAAATGGTGTAATCTATATTCTTGTAATCTATATTCTTGGTTAGCCTAATGGATAGGATATTTGGTTTATTAATTTGCAGATTTAAAAGTGTTCTTTTAATTTTAACTGTTTCATCTGGATACTGATATGATTTTCAATACAAGTCCTTTCAATTTAGTGTTAAAGGAAACCTGCTGTTTAAAGAGAACCACATAAAAGGAGGAATAATTTGTTTTTACTGCAGCCAACTCATAAAGTATCAGGCCACTGCTTGTGGCTAAAATTAAATATCTTTTTAGCTTATTTCTTATTCTACTTTAATAATCAATCAAACAAAATTAAGTCAACCCATTTAGGTTATTTTATCAGGTTAGTCGGTGGCTCAGTCAGTAGGGCTACACTTCCAATCTATGGCAGTGATGTCTTGGATTCGGATCGTTGTACCTGCCACTACATTTTATCAGCCCATTTCCACTCTATAGCGTCACGGCTCACACCTTGCTTTTGCTGGATACGATCGCACAAGCTTCAGGCCTATGTGGACAGGCAAATGCAAGGTTAAAAGCCAAAGATGTTAAAAATAATATTAAAATAAAATAATATAAAGAAATTTAACTAACCGAACAGCTTTGACCAAAACTGTTTTATTCTCCAACCTCATTTCTGATCACTACTAGGCTATCATATTTCTGAAGTTACAATTTTCTTTTGCGAAATAAGCACATCAGAACCTTTCAAATCCTTACTATAGTGAGAATATTTATCAAAAGAAACATTTTGCGTTAATAATACTTCAAATTCTTAACAAATCTTTAAAATAATTTCAAAAGGTAGCTTTGAGTTAAGTTAACAGTGTACTTATGGGACAGGCTTGTTGATTTTGGTATAAAATGTTTAAATCAAGTATAAATAGATAAATAGACCTATGCTATTTCAAGAATACAGTAGAACCTCTTTAATCCGAACCCCCGTAATCCGAACGTCCACTAATCCGAACCCCTCATTGCTGTACTCTATACACAGTACAGCAGTTCTTTATTGTATACTGTATTTAATTTACAGTACTGTTTATTCACCATGTTTACTACTGTATTAAATAAACACTGTGTTTTACTTTATAAAACATTTTTTTTCACTTTTCCCAAAATGATGTTGATCAATTTTAGCCATATTTTAGCTATTGTTATGTAAAAAAAACAATATGCTCTGTAATCCGAACTATTCAATAGTCCGAACTACCCCTGGTCTCAATTAGTTTGGATTAAAGAGGTTCTACTGTAGTTACAAATTATATTACATGTTAGCCAACCATAATGAAAATTTTAGATGTAGGTAGGTACTCCTTAAGAATAAATGTGTCATTTAAAAAATTACTTAAGATATGGATGTTTTACATAGGTGTTGAAATTTAAATCAGCCAAGATGTTATCTTTATTATTTGTCGTGAACTTAAAAAGTGTCTAGTTAACAGTAACATGTAAAATCCAGTTCTCCTGTATTTTCCCACTTTAAAACTGTTTTGTAACAGACAACTAGTTGTGCCAATGAATGAATGTATACTGTGTAAACTATTTTGAGCCGCTACTTTAAATAAGCACTCTACATGGTTTCCAGACACATTAAGGATAATTACATTATCGTACAAAAATTGGCTTTCTTATACTGACTTATTTCACCCCACCCCAAAAAAGAAATCTATAATGTAATGTATGATAAAATATCTTGAGTCGAGGTTAATTTTACATTGATGTGAATTCTGTTCAAGAATATGTACAGCTGCATTCGAAACTGTTGAACTTAACAATAGTTATTTGGTTACTTTGTATTTTACAATCATTTAAGCTACTACAGTATTACATTTTACTTTTCACTGTTCTAAAATCATCCCCATACTAAATCATATTAATTAACTTTGCCTAAACCATAATTCTAATTGTGCAAAACGCCCATCTTATTCTCTTGTTGTCAGATCAATGATCAATGAATCAATCAATCACTGTGTTAATTTTATTTAGTCTAAACAAAGATTACATATGCTATGCAAAATATGTAATCTTTGGTCTAAACATTCTTCCAAAATAAAGTAGTAGCAAACTTTATAGTTGAATTATGTAGCCTACCTTCCAATATTTTTAAAAATATTTACCCTTTTTGTCACATGGCAATTAATATTGGTGCTTGAAGTCTTCACAGTAACAAGACCTTGAGTCTGAGTTTAGGGCTCTTCCCTTACAAAGACCAAAAAATAATGCAGCTGGTGATGTATTTAACCAAAATAACATAAATATGAACTGCTATATTACTGTGAAATTCAGGTGTTTGTTTCCATGTATAATACTTGAAATTTGAAAAATAGGTTACAACGTATGCTGTGAGTTTCTCAACAACTTATATTTAGATATATCATATTAATTTAACATATCAGACAAATTCCATACGTATGAAATTGATTCATTGAAATCTAATGCAAGGAAGTCTTTTATCAACAATCGAAGTGTTGCAAAATTGTATGCGAGTAAGCTAACAGAACTTACAGACTACACCTGTGCTTTTGAAGAGATTTGGTATGTGGGTACTGTAATCTCCAGAAGTTAAATTGTTAACAATTGCAATTACTTTCAAACTGTAATTTTTAAAGCATTAGGGATTGTGCTTTTCTGTTCGGGGTGTAAAAGACTAGTATAACATACACATTTTCCACCAAAATTGTTTGAATCGTATTTTGTACAATACTCAGAATTTTCCGTTAGTTTGAAAAACCACCATAAAATCTATATCTATATCTATACTATTATATAAAAATCTAATGGTGTCTGTATGTGTATTACTAATAGGTGCAAAAACTACTGAACCAACTGGGCTTCAATTTTACAAAAATATAACTACCATACCAAGGACCATTATAGGACTATTCACATTTCGATACTGACCGTAGGCTTTGCCCCTTTGGCTTTAAACGTTCTAAAGTGAACATTTAAAAAGTAAATATTGATTGGTCTCCATGGCTGTGATGAGAACACTAACAATGTTTGTTTACATTTGCTTTGATTTAAACATAACGCCTTGCTGCTAAACTGCATATTTCACAATTTCAGACAGCTGATACAAAGAAATTAAATATAATATTTTCTATAAATATGAGGTAGGTTTATTTTAATCTAACATTTTACCATGGATTATTTATTCTTAAACTATGTATATAAAAAAAAACCATGATTAAAGAAAAAAAAAGATTTTATAACCGTTGCTGTAACAACTCCGGCTCTGCTTTGGATTTTTTTTTAAGCGTCTTAAGTTAATAATCTTAAATGAAAATAATGTTATTGATATGTTTTCATGGAAACAGTATGAAAATTACAATGTAGCCTATAGATGTTTTGTATGAATTTGGAAACTACTTTAAATAAATTCTAACTGCTTCACATGTGTTAGATTAACTTAACATAACTTGCACATCACATTGTTTTTTAAATGTATATTTATGTAAATTAAGTTATTGTGTTTTGCTAAACCTATGCTTAAATTAAACTAAAAAATATCATCAATAACTAAATTGTCGTTTATTTTTGTTTTCTAAAATCTGTTGTATATCTGTAACTATATTTAATTATCAAATGGTAATACAAAATACTCTTATTTTATCTTAACAGCTTTCAGTTCACATTTACTTTATTTGATACATTTATTATTTGTGTTTTTCCACACCACTGATTAAATTAAACCAAGGAAAATATCATAAAACTAAAACTAAGCAGTACACAGTGTTCTTTTATTTATAAAAATCAATGAAATATCTATTACTATGTTTTCTTAAAGGTAAGTGTGAACATGCAAAGGCAATGGACGATGGAACTAATTAAAAGAACTGGTTTGTATATTGAGTTGTTTGTTGATATTTTTGTATAGTAGAATCAGAGATGCAATGAAACATATACTGTATTTGCTATTTCATTTTTTAGTCCTTGATGATTTGATAATCATATTAGTTTTGCCTGCTGTCTTTAATGCTAAATTATTTATTTGAAATTTTTTATAGTACCTATAGATATAGTTTCTTTAATATTTCAAAAGACTGTATTGATAAGGCACAGCAATATTTCTAAAGTTTATAACAGCTGACTTAGTTTTGCTAATGATTTATTGTGTGTGAAAAAACTGAAAGGATTTGTAATTTAATATAAAGAAGAGTTTAATATAAATATAAAGATATCTATTTAAATTTAATAATTAGTATTTTTGCAACTTCAAAATGTCAATAATAAATTAAAAGATGTGTAATTAAGGGAGATGAATGTAAATCTGGTAAATCATGTATGTCATCGTTTTACTCGAAGATTTGGTCAGTTTTTCTCATATCAACCTACACAAGATTTAAAATTAATCAAAACCAAAATGGTGGTATCCACTACTTACCAGATTTAAAAGTCATAACTTAAACGTTTCTATTAAGGCCATAAAAGTTGAATTTTGTTTCTAAAAGCGTTGGCGGATACAACTGTAACTATTATATGCAAGAGATAAAAATTAAAATGTTTCTATTTTGTGTCCTCTTCCCGTTGCAAAGCACGGGTACAACAGCTAGTATATATATATATATATATTATGGAAGAATTCCTAGAGATACTATGGATTAGTAGTACAGTACCTTACATACCAAATTTCATCAAATTGGACCAACGTTGGAGTCTGTACACATCCAGGGGTAGTGGAATTTTACCCCCAGAGAAAAATAACTTGTGTATCAGCCAACGAGGGTAAAATTCCGCACCTGAACTTTTTGGGTCACACAACATGAATTGAATAAATTCACGTTGGAATTAAAGCATCATTTCACGGTTTTGAATTTTATCAGAACAAATCAAATAAAAAACAGGAGCATGGGTGCCCGCATGATTTCAAACAGGGGGTGCAATATATAGGTCTAATGAAAATCTGGGAGGGTCCGGGGTCTTCCCCGGGAAAATCTCTGAAAATATAGTGTTTTAATACATATTTTTACGCTATTTGATAACCCATAGAACCAACGAAAACAAAATAGTATATTGTGCATCAAGGAGGGTAAGTATTCATATTTATGCCAACATAAAAACTAATAAGCTATTTAAGTTCTTATGTATAATGTATATGGTTAAATCCTCAAGCCTGACAATTAATTAGAAAGTAAAATAAATTTAAAGTAAAGTTTTGTTAAAGTATAAAAGAATAATACATCTGTGAGTTAACTACTTATTTGTAGGCCAGTCAATAACAGCATTCAACATCGCAAACGCGCATGTATCTACGATTTTTTTATATGTTGTTAGGTCCCCTAAGAGTAGTTTATACCCAAGTTTGCAACCCTGAAAACCCTGTGCTACTCCCATGATACTTGAAAAACTGTAAAATTCCGGCTCTTTTTTGTTTTATTGATAAAAACTAGTGAAGGAAGAGTTTATCAGGTATATGTGCCCTATACTTTTTTAAAGTTAACTAAATTTGCAACAATTGGAACCCATTTTGAGCCCTTTAAGTCCATTTCTTGCGGATATACAGTTAGTTAACAAGAGGAATATTTTTTTAAACATTGAAAGATTATCGGTAGGCTCATTTACCAAGATGCGTACCGGCTGAAGTAATGGTCATAGAGAAAAGTCTTTAGGCAAGATTTTGTAGAGAATTTAATAAGCTTTAATTTAATTCCAAATTGGTGTGTCTAGACCTTACAGTTTCACAAAAATTTTAAATTATAATAATACCATATTTTGCGTAAATGTTGTATTTTGGGTTGTATTTCTTTAAAAGATTTGGACTCTACCTTCAATACATGCTTGGCCTAAAAAGCACATGAAGTCAGACGAGTATCGCACATTCAAGGGGATCCTTCACTATACGTCGGTCTGATAAGTTCTGGTCTGGTTTGTGGACAGATTTGACCATAGAACAGTTGCGAGAGACACTGCAAACACCAAAAAAATAAAGATCTGGTTCAAAACCAACCCTCCATTCCCAGTCAGTGATCGCCTATTTTTCATCCACAGTGGTATCGTCAGAAGCCCTGATATCAACTGCCACTTAGCTTAAGAACTGGGAGCAGGAGGAGTGAAACAAAATGTTGGTAACAACTTTGGTAAAGTGACTTTTAAACAAAAGGACAAAGTGAAGACCTTGACGTCAGGCACCAGGTCTGTAAAAGTATTCAACAAGAGAGTTGATGTTGATCTCCTTACCATATTCCAGAGGGTCTGTGTCACAAAACAATCAGATGAACCATTGAAGCAGCATTTTGCGTATGAGCTAGCACCGTATCCACTGTCCTTATTCACTGAAGAAGGAATGCGCGAGTGCACAAAATATTCCTTCTATTCAGCATTTACACCGCTCACTGAAAACATCATCCCAGAAAACGAAGCGTTCATAGTAACCACTTTAAACCACTTTGGTAAAAACGTTGCTGTGGTATTTGATGGATACCTTCAAGATGCAGCTATGAAGAGCACTAAATCAGCTGAACTCCTGTGACGCTCTACTTCTCTCTCATGCAGTGACATTTTGTTTGATGCAACACCCATCAAAGTGTCCCAAAGCAAAAATGCTCTCAAATGAATCTGACAAACACCGACTGATCACCATGTTGTGTACTGAATTTGAGATGCATGGTATTTAAATACATCAATCTCAAGAGGACGCCGATGCTGATATAATGAGGACTGCCCTCTCCAAGAGTTCGTCGTGCAATCAGGTTTTTTACCATTGGGGAGGATGTCGTCTTACTGGTGCTCCTCAAGGGATTAAGCTCTGGACAGACGAACGTGTACTTCAGAAATTGGGAGAGGTGGATCAGAGTGTAAATTCTTTCACATGTTGAGAAATGCATGTTCCACGGGAGATGGTTTTGTTCCTGCATGCTGTTTGTAGGTGTGACACCACATCTGCCCTTTTCTGGCAAAGCAAGATGAAGGGGTGTAACGTTCTAAAAAAACCCCCGAATGGATAGACCTTGACAGCATTTTCTTTTGCCAAAACACCAACCAAGAAGAAGTAGGAAATGCTGGGAAGAAGATTTTAACGAACCTCTATGGAGAGTACAAGGGAACGCTGAACACTCGATATACAGCATTTATAAAATCGGCAGCAACGGCAAAAGTCAACCTTGCCCGCCTCAACCCCCCCCCCACACAGAGACTGCAAGATATCATTCTTTGAGGACCTACCATCAGGTGAAAAAATGGTTATGGGTTGATAAAAAACCGTGTGACTAGGAATGGGCCACCACCATTGAGCAAGGTTTAATGCCCGTCACAATGTGCGTAGAGCCCGCTCCTCACATCCTGCTTTGAAATGGTAGCTTGCAAATGAAAAAAAGGCTGCGTAGGGTCGTGCACTTGCAGAAAGGCTGGGCTCAAGTGTTCTATTCTATGCCTCTTTTGTCAAGGACACAATTGCAACAACATCACTCCTATCGTACTAGATGAGGATGTAGACCACCCAACACCATTTGACAACCCAACTCAACCTCCACCCCAACCTCAACCTGTGTTAAATCTATAAAATGTCAATTTCACATTCTTGCACTCTTAAAAAAAATAAATAACAACAGTAGTCAGTACCTACATTGATGACATCATTAAAGCAAAGTCTATTTTAATATTTATAATTTTTTTTAGGAAGCTATAGGGCCTAGACACACCAATTTGGAATGAAATTAAAGCTTATTAAATTCTCTACAAAATCTTGCCTAAAGACTTTTCTCTATGACCATTACTTCAGCCGGTACGCATCTTGGTAAATGAGCCTACCGATAATCTTTCAATGTTTAAAAAAATATTCCTCTTGTTACCTAACTGTATATCCGCAAGAAATGGACTTAAAGGGCTCAAAATGGGTTCCAATTGTTGCAAATTTAGTTAACTTTACAAAAAGTATAGGGCACATATACCTGATAAACTCTTCCTTCACTAGTTTTTATCAATAAAACAAAAAAAGAGCCGGAATTTTACAGTTTTTCAAGTATCATGGGAGTAGCACAGGGTTTTCAGGGTTGCAAACTTGGGTATAAACTACTCTTAGGGGACCTAACAACATATAAAAAAATCGTAGATACATGCGCGTTTGCGATGTTTGCCTTTTTTCATGTAGATATTGACTGGCCTATTGATTGAAACATAAATTTAAAACATTTTTTTAGAAATGGCCATTATGAACTTACTTTTATAATTTCTTAAACCTACTTTTTATTAATAAAAGTGATAATAGAACATTATGGTTATTAAATGTATGTGTAATTTTTTAGCCAGGGCGCCCATGAACAGGAGTGTTCGAGCTGGAATTTTACTTCCCTCATAAGTTTAGCTGAAAATGTATAACCCGGAGTTTTATCCCTGGAAATTTATCCCCTGGCCAGCAAACCAACGGTCCGGAATTTTATCCCACTGGAAATTTACCCCCAGGTGAGCAAAAGCCTTCAACTTGTTCAACAGGTGCGGGTGGCTGATTATATCAAATAATGCATTGATGAAGTCCAAGTAAGTTAGATACAATCCAGTTGATTTACATTGGAAAATGCGTATAAGATACTACCAGTAAATATGGTTAGGTTAGTAGTTGTTGATCTTCCTGGCTGGCTTGAAGCTGTTCAGTGATTATATAGTTCTTAATCGCAAAGGCAAGGACATTCTATCGAGGACCAAGCTCTCAAAAACCTTTGCTAGAGCTGGCTGAATGATGATCGGTCTGTAGTTTCTGGTGTCAGACAAATCACCTTTCTTATGAATTGGTACAACGAACCCCTCTTGGAAATAATGTTCCCACTCGCAAAAATTTGTTGAAATAGAGAGTTATTATTGGAGCCAAGGGTTCAGCACAATAATTGAGCAGACTGGCTGGTATCGCATCTGGTCCAGCCCCCTTTTTAGGATCAAGATCCTTAAGTTATTTTTTTCTCAATTTTGAATGCTGAAACAGTTATGCTTGCCAAATTGATTTCCATATTGTATGACTAGTCCGGGACTTCATTCACTGGTGGTCTTTTTATGGAAGAAAAAACTCAGCGAACATTTCACAAATATCGAGTGGATTAGTTGCGACTCTGTCGCCTAGATGAAGAATTTCCTGCGTTGAAGGCGATTTTCTTAGATTGCTCCAAAAGACTGGGGTCACTGTCTAGACTCTCACCTTCTATTATTGATGTAGTCGGAGTGGCACACTCTTCTTGCTAGCCTTTTGCACTGGCTCTGAATTTATCCAGGTCAGTAAGATTATGGAACTTCTTGAATTTCGTATGTACTCGTTTCTTTTTTGCTACAAGACATCTTAGCTCCCTAGTAAACAATGGAGGGAAGGATGTCCGTCCCCGTCGTACCGGTCTTAATGGACAATAAAGAAGATAGATATTTTTTATTGTTGCTAAATTCAATAAACAATTATTCTTCAATGAAATCAATAGAAACTGTAGAGGGGAAGGCTGTTTTTGAACCCACTTATAATTTTCTTCAAGGTTGCACTTTTTAACATACATGATTTTTTTTACATGTTTTATATCTATACTTTACAGCTTATATTTTAATCAAAACTTAAGGAAGAATTTGTTTAAGGGAGTTAATGTTTTTCTTGAAAGCGTTAACAACTGTATTAATTCACTGAAATACAGTAGGTGATATCATTGATTATGCATCTCCCAAATGACATGAATAATCTATGATGATACGTGGAATTTTGTAAATAAAAGATCTTTATGACACTATCTGTGCTTGAAAATTCGTAGCAGCTGAAAATCACTAACCAAACCAGGTGTTCGTTCTAGCAAAGCAAGTCAACAGTCAACCCAGCAGCCAGCAGGAGGAACCAAAATCAAAATAAAAATGGCTTCCTTTCGTGTGTTTGTCATATTTTATTGTTAATCAATAAGTTGAACTATTGTGCACTTTTATGTTGTCGAGATGGTGTAGTTTTACCTTTGAGTTATTGTGTCTTTATTATTGCAACATTTGATTGTATTTAATATTATTTTTAATACGTTTATTATGCGTACGAGAAATAAAAGTGTAAGCCTATGTTATGGCAACGGACGAAAGAATGCAACAGACTGTTTCATGTCAACAGAAACAATATGATTACTTGTTGAAATTTTTACTAGTAGGTGACAGTGACGTTGGAAAACAAGAAATATTAAGTGCTGAAGGACTTGAGGACGGTTCCTCCGAATCGCCCTTTTGTAGCGGGAGTGGTAGGTGTTAGTATCCTTTTCTCATTTGACGTCTCAGGCTACCCTAACTGTTGTAGTAGTTATAGCCTATGTTAAGTTAGTAATGATAAGTTTTTATAATAGGCCTAAGTTTATGTACTTTCAAGCTAAGTTACTCCTATTTTTAATACTTTAATACCCCCCTACTTAACTTAGAAATGGTGACCATACGAATGTAACAAGTGTTTTAAGCCAAGTAGGGCCTAGGTATCAATGGAGACGAGTTTTGGATGAGTGGTGCGATCTTGTAGTCTTGTTAGTGACTAAGTCTGACATATTCCTTAGACACAGCTGTTAATTAACAGGCCATAACTTACAGCCAATGACAACTAGGCCTAAGGTACCTCAGTTAAGGCTAAGTATAGTGGAGTCCAAATCACATTTTTGCCAATGTAGGCCTAATTTACGAATTGGTCTAAGTATCAGGATAGTACTGCGGATAGTGGTAGGTAGTACTCACTAGTGCGGACGTTAATCCACACCAGGGAGTATTGCATCCGCAGATCATGCCGTTGGAGGTATAAATAAATAAAATAAATCATGCCTATAGGTATATATCCACAATTTGTGACCTAGTAACTGAGCAAGTTCATCCTAGGCCTAGGCAGCATAGGCTTTGTTTATTATGTTTTTCCAAGTTTAGGCTAACTTAGGTCTAAGTCTACAAGCCAAAATTGGAATAGGCCTAACATATTAAAGGAATGTGCTTAGCTAGGCTAGTTGTAAGGCCTAGGCCTAGGTACCTAACTTGTTCACTGTGTTAAGAGATCCTTAGGTCTTGTATCGTACCTAGCCCGTAGTGTGGGATCCATAATTTGGCTTTTCCCTTTAAGTTAGCCTATTTTCTTACAACACGGTTTCTTCCCTCGAGCACAGACTTGTAGTCCATTCGAGGGAATACTATTCTTACAATGATTATGTATTCATGTATAAGTAACTTACCTATTTCATGTTCTTAAATAAAGTGATTTTTTGATTAAAAAAAAAAAAACGATATTTCGTTGTAGGTAGGCCTAGGTTTACAGTTATTGTAAACAAATTAAACTTGTACCGTAGGTATACAGAATGCATAGACTTATTTATTGAAGAAACAACTATGTAGTAAAGATTAAATGTACCAGATAGGCTATATAGATCTTTTAACACACTGAAATAAGTTAATACACTTTTTCTTTATTACGATATGAGACCTGTGGATCTCGTATCAAAAATAGTTACCGTATTCCAAACGCCACATGAGACTACTGCAGGTGATTAGCAGTGTTGGGAAGTAGCGCGCTACAAGTAGCGACGCTACAGTAGCGCGCTACTTTTTTTGTAGCGTTAGCTGTAGCTACGCTACTTTTAAGATTTTGTAGCTTTAGCTGTAGCTAGCTACATTTTTAAAGTAGTTGTAGCGGAATTTTAGCTACTTTTCTCGCTACATTATCATTGTTTGAGATAGTGATTTTTATCATAACATAACCTCAACCTTACGTAAAACAACCTCTTTCAAACTGAGATTTAAAAAAAAAATTAGGCCTTACTTTCTTGGCTTCATACAGCTGGTTGCAGCCGTTTCATTCCCTATAACAACGTTGTGTGGACATGGAGGCCATTAGATGAGTGTTATCCACATTTTTGGCTCTCATTTCCTTAATTTACTACTCTATGATTACTGTCAGATAAAATAAAATTGCTAGATGCAGACGACGTTTAAACGTTACCGGTGACAAGAGAAGCTATTGAATGCTTGCAAGTGATTGACAGGGAAATTAGTAATCAATTTAGTTTGTTTATTATACCGATAGTGTTTCAACATGGATTTTAATGGAAACCAACACTAAACCTTAAAATAATGAGAAATCTGGTCTATCAACCTTTGCTTCAGCTGTTGATTGTGGTTCATCGTCACAAGCCCTTCCTTGGTTAGATTACGAAGATTTTTCAAAGGTTTACTAAATTAACAAAGAGGAAATTACCTGATGTGATTTAAGATATGGATGGACTAAATGATAATTGTAACGAAAAAATCTCCATATAACATGAAACTTACATTGAAAAAAAATAGCATAGTTTGCTCCTGGTAACAGCTCTTGTATAGGACTATTAATTCCTAGGCTATGCTATGGTTTAAGACGAATACCAAGTCTCAAGTTCAATTATTAGGAATATATCTGTTTAGTCCTTGCAAGAACTGAGCCTACTATAGCCAACTTGTTACATAGCAAAGTAGGCCTACATGTTATTTTTACTTTACAAATTTCAACATGTTTAAATTAAAAGCCGATTTCAGGATAAGTTACTGGATACTGTTTTCTGTACCAACTAGGTTGAAGCACAATTTGCCCTATGCATAATGACAATAAAGGACGATTTCTTGACATTGAAAAGTGTTATTCATAGTACAAGTAACTTATCACTTAAAAGTTTATAGCAATGTCGTTTTTAACATTAAAAGAAAGGCAATAAACTCCAATTTCAGTAGGCTAGGCTCTGTAACACAACAAAGTATTTTTAAATAATCGTTTTACAGTTTTATTGGTCTTAATTGTTGATATAAGACATCTATGAATGAATCTATATTAAAGAAATAAAATGAGCTTTTAAAATATAGTTTGGTTGTATGTCCTTTGAACTTAATGAAATTTACATTTAAGATGCTTAAAAATAATGCAATATTTAAAAATAAGTAGGGCCTACTAAATATGATGGGACACCGAACTATTTGGTTCTGTTGTTGTAATGTTAGGTTTATAATGCCAAAAAATTAAATACAATCTAGGAATAATTTGTTTTCCAATTAATGTTAGATACAATACCTACTGACATTTTTTTAATGTTTGTTCAGTAAAAATGTAGTTGCAATTAATTTTACATTTACCTAATGTGCGTGGAATAAAAAGTAACGTCTTTGGAAAAGTAGCTAAAATTGTAGCTGTAGCTACATTTCAATGTAGCTGTAGTTGTAGCTAGCTACTTTTGCGTAACTGTAGCTGTACCTGTAGCTAAGCTACTTTTTTGGAAATGTAGCAGTAGTTGTAGCTAGCTACATTTTAAAAGTAGCTTCCCCAACACTGGTGATTAGTACCTAAACTTAACAACTTGTCGAATGCGTGAACGAAAGGAAACCCAAGAATGAATGGAAGAACACAGAGAAAGAATAATGATGTTTTTTTTAAGTTGTTATCTTTATGAGTTGGTATCTAATGTTTTATAGATTCACAAAATAATTGTTTTCAACTACGGGAACATCAATTTATAGTAATCAAGTAATTCAAGTAATCAAGTAATTTATTGGTCATTAAATAATCATTGATTACAATAGACCTCGTCAGAGACACACATAATTATATAATTATCGACGTGCTTCTCTTCTGAAACAGCCCTACCGGATGCGTAGTAGGCCCTATAGGTCATGATCTCATATATCAAGATTGCGCAATTTTGTATTTTGATTTTTAAATGGTATGCAAATCATGGCATTAATTTGAATTTAAATGAATAACTTATTTCTTCTGGTCCCTAGTATTTCATATCAAATCAATATCAAATAATTGTGGTTTCAAATGATATTTTTGATGATTTAAAGTTTTTAAGCGTGGAAACTGACAATCAAATGTCAAACCGGGCAAGGAATTCCCAAAAAACAGCTTTGTATCATTGTCCTGTGATTGGAATCCCCCTTGCGAGCCTTTTGGAGAAGTGGTGCAAGTCTAATATATAGCTTCAAGGTCGCACCCACCTCTTCCCCCACTCCGCGCTCATTTCTAGGTCATTGCCAACCCCTAAATTATAATGTAGGCCCTACTTTCATTTGTATTTTATTATGCTGAAATCAGCCATAAGGAAACACATTGGTACTTTCCTGTTAAAGGGATCATTCATTATTATATTAGGAAAGTACCAACGCATTATTATGAAAAGTGATAATCAAAAGATAAAATATCTAGGTATTTCATTATGGTTACTATTATTAGGTAGCCTACCGTTATTCGTAAATAGAAAACACATATTTTCATTTTTTTTGTAGGAAAAGAGTTAATGCAAATAAATAATTAACTACACAACAGATGTAATGTTACGATCTGTTGGTCTTATAGGCTAGCTGTGTGATACAAAATCTCAGGGTCTCGTACAATTACGTCATATTTCATTCCTGGGCTGGCTGAAGGTTGTCAACATTGTACTAGTTCACATAAACAAACACAGAGTGCTCTCTCTCTCTCCTTTATTTGTGAGGTTATGATGTGTAAACGATTACTGAGCAACGTAATTTCGGGGTCTCATATCGCGTCTGGGCAACCATAGCGATCGAGACCTATACATCTCGTAACGCACCATTTGAATAATGCACGAAAACATACAACGCAGCAAACGTGTTAAGCGAATTCAAAATAGGCTAGCACACTGAACTTAAATCAGTTTTCTGCTAGGAAATGGGCATAATCTGGGATAAGTAAAATTAATTTCAAATTGTGTAAGCTGAGGCCTACTATGCTATGCAGTGGTTAATAAGTTGGTCTTATCTTTAAATCACATTCAATCTTATCCTTCATTGTGGGTGTAAACTCTGTTTACTTAGGCAATTTAGTTAGGCCTATTAAAATCATACTGGTACCTAACCTAATCCTGGAAAAATTTACACATCTGTGATGTAGCGTAAGTTAACTGAAAAGTTACTTAATTTTGATATCCGACTCCACATTATTAGGATTTTAAACAATGCATAAAAATATAGATTCGATGGTACTGTAAGCATACTTTGCCTACCAAAATCCAAAATTCTAGGCCTAACATAATATGGATTGAATTTAACAATTGATTTAACTAACTTTTTAAAAAGTAATTACAGATTCAGATATCAAAGTTTTGCCCTTCACTCATATACTAACAGATTGTGAGTTCAACAGATCAATGATGAACCGGTGCTTAATTTGTTTCTCCTGGCTATTATTTGAACAAGTTAGACTTTAATGGAGTTGACTATTGCTGATTTAACTTAGCCTTAGTCCAATTCAGCATCCTAAACTGAAGTTAATCTGTTCATGTTTACAGCTTACAAGACCACAACGATCCTACTTGACGGCAAGCGAGTGAAGCTGCAGTTATGGGACACGTCGGGCCAAGGTCGGTTCTGTACGATCATACGGTCGTACTCTCGCGGCGCTCAGGGCATCCTCCTGGTCTACGACATCACCAACAAATGGTCCTTCGACGGACTGGACCGCTGGCTCAAGGAGGTGGAGAATGTGAGTTGACATATGGCTTTGTATCAATCAGTTTCCGATGACCATTTTTATCCAAGAAGAGATTTAGCTCCCCCAACAATCTGCCCCCACTTCCTCAGATCCTGTGTCTACTTTTTCATTTAAACTCTTAGCGAATTTCCCATAGGAATTAAGCTATCTGATTTTTAGTATTAACATTAGTTTTTGGCCTCTTTTTGGATGAAAGAAACCCAAACATTTGCAGATTAGACCCACTTTTCCTTCAAGCTATATTGGTTTTATGATATGTTCATCCCCTCACCCTCTTTGTTAGGCTTACTGTAGGCCTACAGTCTATGTCAGACATCTAGATTTTGCTTCAGCAATCACATCAGGTGCTTGAAACAAATCTTTTAATTCCTTATTATGCTTGATTCCCTATTCTACTTTGGTCCCAAGATTTTCCAAAGTACTTTGTTTTTAAATGCTAGCAGCGTTTTCTCAGCACCTTTGTCTAGATTCCTGAGTTTATAATAATGGTCTCATATGTGTAATACTTATGTGACTCATATCACAATAATCACAACCTCATTATTGACTCATTTTTTGAGTCAATTGCTCTTTTAAACTACTGAACCAGAAACTAAATTTATATATTTAATTTGTCATAGGCCTACTCATTTCCTTTTGATTTTGACTAACAGGAAAATAATAACATATCTGTATCTAGGCCTATTTCATTTCTCTCATAGGCCTATCTAAATCGTCTGAATAGTTTGACAGCTAGATACAGATTTAAACAAGTTATTTTTTATGGAGTGGTCTAATAGAACATTGATGCCAAAATAATCTGTTTCATATAAGTATCCAATGCATATAAAGGGTTTTATGATATTTAGAGATCCAAATTATTATATATCCTACTTATTTTCATCAATATAATAATTTGTAAGCCTTTGTTAGGATTTTGAGGTGGATAAGTTTTAACAACAGATTTTCCGAATTGATGTAAATAGATAAAAATGCTCAAAAACACGTAAATGTTTTGGACAAAAACACGTAAATGTTTTGGAGGTAGCTACAATCTTTTTCTTTAGTAGTAAAGCTACTAGCACAGAAAATTGAATTTGTTCATTTACAAAGCATTTTCTTCATTGCAATTTTTCTTTGTAAAGTAAGCTGCTGTTAAACCTATCTGCCTCAAAATCCTCATCTAAAGAAAAAAAAAGTTTAATAGCCTTCTTAATTTGAATTTTATTTTTGGCCTGCATTCACTTGAGGATATTGATATTGAATCCATTCACATTCATTCCAAATTTATAATGTTATAAATAACCAATGATTGAATGTTGCAGCATGCTCCTGGGGTTCCCAAGGTTCTGGTCGGCAACCGTCTGCATCTTGCGTTCAAGAGGCAAGTATGCACACGGGACGCAGAAACATATGCATCTCGCAACGGCATGGCTTTCTTCGAGGTGAGTTTGACAGATGTAGACATTTCACTTTGATAGTTTTACTTAAATTTTAAATGGTATGCAAAAACTATTTAAATGGCTGTAATTTATGTTTTTGTACAAAATGTTAACATACAGCAATTGGTTTAATTACCTGCTTCTGTGCCCAATCCAAGTTGTTGCTAGGGTTGCAACTAGTTTCAATCTCTACATCCATCCGGTTGTGTCACTCAATTCCCCGTTCCCGTTGTTACTGTCATAATCGTTTTAATGTCTAGTTTTAATGTTTGTCTTCATGTGTCTGTCTACAAGTTGAATGTGTTATTGATCAACGACCTTCTGGTGAAGCGGTTATGTCACCTTCAAAGCCTTAGGGGATGAGAAGTTGAAACTAGTTGCGGCACTACCAACTTACATTACCTACACATAAGCAGATGTTCAAACCTATTTAATGTAATCTGGAGGTTAACATAAAAAATGTTATCCTATAATCTGCTTTAAATTAAGTTAGTGTTAATTTCAAACAGTTCGACATACTTCTTGTTCAAAGGGGCTTTATGTTTCTGGTACTATCAAAAACATTATTTCAAATCTCCATAAGATTTGCTCAAGTGGGCTTAATCATGACGTATTTAATTATCTAAGATTTCTGCTAACACAGGGAACATTTCTTCCATCTAACTTTAAGGAACTTGTTCTTATAATATTAATGGCACGATGAATTGACCTCAGGTTTGTCTTAGGAAAAAAACTAATCTAGGTTAGGTAACTTTTTTGCTGTCTAAACGATCCTTAGGTACAAGTACTACTATGGCGACTACAGCTGTTGTGTGCTTGTAGAAAAGTAGAACATCTTAAGCTTAAGAATGTCTTACTAATAATCCCTAGAGATGCGGCGATGTTGGAAGGTAAGTTGCGACTGGGTAGGGGTCAACGATGCCGACACGCAACAGTCGTGAATTACCTTTCATCGGCACCGTGTTTCGTATTCATTCAGTGTCAAAATTTACGAACTCCTCATGAGGGATTATTAGTAAGATATTCTTGACCTGAACATGTGCTATTTTTCTACAAGCACGAAACAGCTGTAGTCGTCATAGTACTACTAGTACCTAAGGATCGTTTAGACAGCAAACAAGTAACCTAAACCTATTTTAGAATATTAAAGGATTTGAATATAGCTAAATATGCAGTCTAGGGAAGACTATTTTATAATTTTTTTGGAAACAATCCATAAAAACCATTCAGCCTAATACAACTTGCCCTTTCTACTAATTACAAAATGCCCTTTATTGTAGACAAACCATAGCTTATTTTAAGGCCAACTATCACAGTTAGTTTGTTGTGATGATTCACCGTTTTGCAGGTCAGCCCATTGTGCGACTTCAACATTAGGGAGAGCTTCAGTGAGTTGTCCAGAAGGGCCTTGCAACGCAACGGTATGGAGAGGCTTTGGCGGTCCAACAAAGGTATGACTTATCACATGCTGTGTTGATCCAATTCAATCAACATTAAATAAATTATAATAATTCTTGCTTCGTACTGTAAGCATTCACGTTAGGAAGAATTAAACATGGGTTGTTTGGGTCGATAAAGGTTGTTATAAGGTTGATAACAAAATGTGTGCCTGTAGGGTGGCTTCCATCCGTACAAGGTCAGTTGGTGGACTGTAATGGCAAAGAAGTATTTCTTCTGTAGGCCTTCGTTTCTTATTTGAGAGGTGGAAAGTCTATGAAGGATTACCTAGGGTATCGGTATGTAGTTGTTTTAAGGAAAGGCTCTAGGCCAGGATTTTGATTAGTAGAGTGAAGAGATAGCACCTATCTTACTTTAGAAGAAGTACTGGTACAGGTAAACTATAGAGAACACAAAACACACCCACACACACAACATTTATTTTGTCCCCGGACATTTTTAAGTGTAGACAAAGAGATTTCACAAAATTGTTGTTGTCATGGCTATTAAGAGTGAAATAAAAAAAAATGTAAAACGAGTGCAAGACTATATAAGCCTGGTTTGCCTTACAGAAGGCAATGGAATTCCTTTTATTCTTAGGACACTAGAAGTGAGTTGAACAATTATTCAAATTGTTAACGAGTAGCCAATTGTTGAAGAGTTACAATTAAACGTCTGTTACAGTGGTGAGTCTGCAGGAGTTGTGTTGCCGCAGTATTGTTGCACGCACCACGGTCTACGGCATAGACCAGCTCCCCCTCCCCACGACTATCAAGAATCACCTGCGGTCGTACGCGCTGACATCATTCACTACGATGCCGCCACGGTGCCGAGGAGACAAGCGACCACAACCCCCCACCCCTCCACACCCCACCCCGCGCCACTCTTGCTCTGTGTCGTGATACCCGCACCAGTGATGCCAACTGTGTAGGTTAAAATGTTTTTATACGAGATTTTCGCATTTAGATATCTGTAAAGAGTCTTCATCACTGCTCTGTTGTACTATTAGTTGGTGCTGAAAAGTACCCTCATCAGTCAAATGGTTTTTTTTAGCAACAAGGAGTTGGATACAACAATAAGTTTTTTGGAGGAAAAATCACTTGGCTAGGAATTAAGGAAGAAGGAATGGATGCACAACCTGGGAAAAGAGTTCCATGTGTCTAGTTCAAAGCACAAAAAAAAATTTACAACACAATAAACATTATTTTTGTACCTACATAAGATAGAAGTCTATACAATAGAAGGATAACGAATAGTTAAATGATTTTACACTTTTGAGTTTACCAACAATTTCAACCAGTCAACCAGTTTTCTAAAGAAATTAGATAATAATTTACTGTATGAGAAATCTGGGAGTCAGTACTTTGGTGACCTATTTTACAGGTAAAAAATACCCCCGCCTCAGCACACCTGTAGACTAAGAGAATTTCCATTTACCTGATTTGATTTTCACTTAAATCTATTTAAGTGACATTAGGTTTAATGGGTACCTAGGTTTGCTGCTACAGGGAGGGTAATAAAGGGCGTTTTTTTTATATTAATAGCTTAGTATAAATTAAATTTGCCAAGTTTGATCAAAATATATCCATAAACAAGCAAACTAAAACAGTTTACTTATTCTCGGTTGACTGACTGGACCTATAGATTGCACCCTCCCATCAATCAATCCATAGGTGAACTACAGGCTGGAAATGTCCAGTCTACTTTGGCCTGTTCATGCATTAGAGCACAAAAAATATGTTAAGGTTGTTTGTTGTAGTAGTAGATTTTTATAGCCTACTAAAATTCTCTTTAACATTTTCAAGATTAAAAAGTGTTTTCTCAACATTATTGTTGAAAAATTAAGTTTTCAATAGTCTCGTTCTAGTAGAGTTTATTGTTATAATTTCCTTGTAATAGAAGGTTTATTTTATGATTTGTTAAATGAAACAGTGAACAGTGCTTAAGTCGATCAGAGTTGTGATGGAGACTCTTAACTAATATAGTTACATTGTGAAACTTAAGCATATTGTCAGAACTAGTTTTAACCCTAGAACTGGCAACCATGTCTCACAAATATGTTTTACCGTAACTATGTAAATGTGAATAGGCCCAGCTGTCCTTAATCATCGGGCTTTCAATAAATGTCCTGACTAATGAAACAGCTGGTCTTAGTCAGTAACAAAGCTACACAAGGCATCACACTCCATTCTACACTCATCCTTCACTCATATTTGGGTTAAAATATACACATAGGTGGCATCCCCATCTCAAATGAATATGAACATATTCAGTTAAAATCTTGCTACAAAATAGGTTCATTCGTGCAAGAGCTGATGAAATAAAACTGACACAGCTAATTGTAAACCTTTAGCAAGATATTTTTTTTTTCAATATTTATGTTCTATTGGCAGTTTGACCTACTTTAAACCTACTTTTTGACCTACTTTACCAATGTGGCCACCCAAACCTGAGGTTTACGGTCACACCAAGAGCTTTTCAAAACCTGTCTTCATTTTTCATCCCCTCTAGCTTTTTTCCACAAATGTCACTTTTCCAATATTTTATCATTTAGGCCTATTTTAGTAAAAAAAAAACAAAGCAATAGACATAATAAGCCAACTGCTATGTTGTTCTGTAAACTAAAACAATTATTTCTCAAAACAAAGGAAACTACATGTTAACAAGCATTTCTAGAAGGTAGGCTATATCATAGACAAAAGAATTGAATTTAGACCAACAGCAGTGCTGGGGTTAGCATATATTCTGACGTCCACCGCTAGGAGTTTCGGCGCACACCGTTGCAGCGTCAAGTGCTAGTGAGCGTTACCATGCCAAGTTGGTAGTTGGAGCCAAGATTGCCAACTTCTGGAGAATTCCCCAGAATCCGGGGAGTAGGAGTTTGTTCCGTTATTTATTCGTGTTTAAAAGATTTCCAGGGATAAAAAATGGGCTTTTTTGTTAAAATTACGGGATTTGAGAATTTTGTCCTTCACCCATATTGAAAAGTGGGTCTGATAGCCCACTTTGTAGCCTTTTTTTTGCAAGGGTAGTAGTGCTGGTAGCAGACAGTGAGTAGACTAGGGCAGCAAATCAACGAACACTGAGCATGCAAGTGGCACATCGTGGAACCTTCCTTTGGCAGTCTATATTTATTTATGGCTATATTCTAAAGCTTAGTAGCTGAATTGTAGTCATGAATTGTGGATATCTATAGGCATGATCAGTGGATGCAATACTCCCTGGTGTGAATTAACGTTCACACTAGTGAGTACTACTACTATCCGCAGTACTATCCTGATAATTAGAGCAATTCGTAAATTACTAGGCAAAAATGAGGTTCGGATTTCAATATAAACTGTAGGCCCCTTAGTTTAGTTGTCTTTGGCTGTATGGGCTATTAATTAACAGTTAGGAACATGTCAGCCTTAGTCACCAACAAGACTACGTATCGCACCACTCATCCTACACTCATCTCCATTCATAATTGCCTTAAAATACCTACATTTGTATGGTCGCCATATCAGTCAAAAGTATTAAAGAATAACTGCGATTTTGCAAATGAAAACAAAATATTAGAGATTCTAGATACAGACCATAACACGGATACCTTCTTTACCGTTAAATTAATTGTTTTGGCCGTCTTGCTGAAGGAAAGCAGTTTTGCGAACAGTTCTAGGGTTTTAACTTGTCATTGCTAATATAGGTTGAACATATTTAAGACTATATATAACATTTAAGGAGAACAAACACTAAAGTCAAGGCCATAACGCTGGTGTGTACATAATCCAGGGACCTAGTCCTACTTCAACCTTTTCTACGTAATTTTTTTATTCTTCCTACCAGTTAAAACTAATAAATGAAACAGGAGAACAGTACTTCACACCTTAAGTTGACATACAGTATGTATTTAACCTTATAAAAGTTAAACATTAAAATTGCCAACCTTTTTTATTTGGTATAGGAAGAACGATTTATTCGGATTTCCGAAGTTGAAGGAATTATCTGACAACTAGCTTCTCCCACAGGTTTTGCATCAGCTTTTACTTACACATTTTACTGATTGATAAAACTGTAAAGAATCTATGATACTTTCAAACATACTTGTTTCTTGGTGATAATAGTACAAATTAATGGGAAAGTTGAAAGCATTTTTTGTGCTGACAACTTAAGAATATAGATTTCAAATCAGTTATTACAATTACTTAACACTCTTAACAGTGATATTTAGCTTTTGTTCAGGTTGTAGATAAACAAATTGTTATTGTTTAGCACAAACAGTTTTTTTATGAATTTTTAAAACCCATTAACTTATTTAGTATTTTAACCAGCACAAAATGTGAGACTTCTGAAACTCGTCACAAAGTTTGGCATTGTAAATACGTTTGTAAACGTTTGTGTTGTTTTCTTGAGTTTATGTCCTGTCATGTCCTTAGTTTCTTACTCTATTGTACATTTTTTATATTCGTTGTAGTTTCGATTGTACATTTTTACATTTAGATTGTATTAGATTTGTATTTATTGTGTGGGAAAGTATTGAAGTGTTTCAAGATGTTGAAAGTTTGCAATACAATTCTTTTACAAATGACTGGCTCAAAAGGTATTTTGAAAGTGAAATCTCCCACAACATTTAAACATCTTGAGAAACTTCAGAGTGCCTTGTAAGGACTTTCTTCACTTAGGGACAGAAAAATGGCTCAAGCTTAATAATATCTAGTCACTGGTAAAGGTTAAATTACCTCAATGTTTATTGTTGATTGAGGAAGAGCATCGTCAGCCTAGAAAGTCCTTTACAATTGCAGAATGATAGGTTGTCTTATGATTGATGTCTAATCCATCCAAAAGGGCCGAATTGGTTGAATCTGTCCATTCGTCATATTTTAGCATTGTAATATCAAATAAAATTGTTGTAATTACGTAATGGTGAGTTCATTTTTGTAACCCTTAAAGTTTAAAAAAGATCCTCAAAGCTTGTTAAACTTTATACAACCTTTTAATCCTAATTGCAATATCAACTTTTGAACCAGACATATCCCTTTATGAAGTTTTAGGTACGCATATATCAAAGTTAAGCAGCAATGTGATTTTAATTTGTAACACCACCAGTGTAAATGGTGAATCTAACCATAGCAACCAAGAACAAATCAATGTTATCTATCTATCTATCTATCTATACTATTATATAGTCCAGGCGCTAAACGGGTTGAGTATGCACTGAAAGTCTGACAAAATTTGACTTTTGATTATTGTTGGGGACATCTAGTAGATGAAAAAAATCGATGATGTCGCATTTCTAGGGTGGTCACAACTCGGGGGGGAGGGGGGGAAGTTGCGCGCGTCAGTGGTTTACGTTTCCGCGTCTAACTCTGAAACGGTTAATGATAGAAAGGTGGTTTAAGCGTTTATCTACGCCTAAATATATTGTCTTTCAAAAAGGTTATTGCAACCTAACTTCTATCTCTTATACTTCAGGCGCTAATCAACATTTATTGCAAAAAATAAGATTTAAAAATACTTTAAAATGAAATATCGGAAATATTGCGCTTGTTTAGGGCATGTCACAAACTATTTATGGTTAGAAAAACTAACAAGTAGTACAACAGCACCAAGTTTAAAGAAATCTGTGCAAAAACAACAGAGCTACGTTGATTTCAGTATGAGTAAACGTGGAAAATTCGTAGTAGTACCGAGGCGCGCATGGACGGTACGTAGCCCACAGTCAATATAGGTTTGATGTTGTAAGTAACTATGGGAAAGCTGAATTTTTCTATGCTGTTAGACCATGTTGAGATGAGTATTTTCCCAAAAGTACCCACTCCTACCCCTTTGTGCTTTCCTCTACCCCCCCCCTTTTAGATAAATTTACAGTCTCTTAGAAATTAAGCTATAACTTTAAAACGGGTAAGGATAATAACGCAATCTTTTATTAATCATTTTGCGTTACGATATTCTACAAAAAGTGTATTTACCATGGTATCCTAAATATTCATAGTTAAAAAACATAAAAAATAATTTTTATTTTTACCAGAGCCTCATTTTATTTTACAGGGTGTCTCACCTAAAGTGAACCAATAGATAACTTTTTTATTATGAGATATAGAATTAACTTCTTATGGGACACTACCCTTTATTTTAAGATGATTTTTTAGTGGTTTCGAATTTTAAAAATATGTTCGCCATTTTCCAATATGGCTGACAACTTTGTTAGTCCTATGGAATACCCTGTATTTTATGATTGTTTTAGAATGTAAACGCACAATTTTTAAACCTTTTTATTCTTGACATTTTTCTCTAAAGCTACTTGTTTAGGAGTTACATCGAAGAAGAAATGGTTTGTGAGTACATCCTTCATCCTGTAGCTCATAAACGAGTAAGTTTAAGAGCGAAAATACAAAGAATAAACAAGTTTTCAAATCACATCTACATAAAAAAACCATAAAATAAATTGTTCCAATATCAAAGTAACCTACTATTTTTGAAAATGGTGGCCATTTTTAAAACAACAAAATCAGTATTTTTTAAAGTATTTTATATATTTTTTTGAGCGAGGACTTATATGTGACTTATTTATTCTTTGCACTTTCTCTCTCAACTTACTCGTTTATGAGCTACAGGATGCCGAATGTACACCACAAGCCTTTCTTTTAGATATAACACGCTGTAACTCCTCAATGGGGTAGGTTTAGAGAAAAAATGTCACGAATAAAAAAATAGCTTTTAAATTCTAAAAGAATACTAAAATACAGCGTATTCCATAAGAAATAACAAAGTTGTTGGCTATTCGTAACCATCCCTAAAATCATTTTTTACACATAAAGGGGGTCGTCTAATAAAAAGGTAACTCTATATGGAAAATAAAATTCATGTATGTCCACTATGTAATCTCAACCGGGATGAAACGTGTACCCTTTTATAGCAGAATGTCCAATTTAAAAAAAGATACGTCAATTTTGGTCCAACAAGTTATATTTAAATGAATATGAGTTTTTATAAATTTTTAAATGGCAAAGATTGGCAGGCACTTGGCAATTATCTTAAAGAGGCGTGGAGTAAAGGGTGGGAATTGATAATAGAGTATAATTATTATATTTAAGAATTGAGATATCAATACAAAAATGGGAAAAATCTATGTAATTTAAAAAATTTATAAAATATTGTTTGTTAAGTATCTATCAAAGTAAATTATAAAAGTAACAGGTTTGTTTTATGAATTATTAACTGTTTTTAGGAAAAATTCAGATTCTCAGTAGGCTACATTTAAATTTTATTCAATTGTTATCTGATCTTTATTAGTATGTAGTGCTATTTGTGTATATTCTGTAGTTGAAATCAGTTTATTTTATGAATAATTGTATGTGATTCATGGAATTTTTTTAAACTGTTTTGAAATATTTTAAAATCAGTGTGTCTAACACAAAACATACGGTCTTTGACCATTGTTCTTTGCATTTAAATAAAAAAAACACTGTATTGATATTTTATTACAATGAACACATTTTCTTCTTCTTCTTCTTCAGAAATCTATAATAATTCTTTTTAAATATTTATTTATCTAATAATTCTTTTTGTAGATTATCGTAACGCAAAATGATTAATAAAAGGTTGCATTATTATCCTTACCCGTTTTAAAGTTATAGCTTAATTGCTAAGAGACTGTAAATTTATCTAAAAAGGGGGGTTAGAGGAAAGCACAAGGGGGGAAGAGTGTTGACTTTCGGGAAAATGATCATCTCAACATGGTCTAACAGCATAGAAAAATTCAGCTTTCCCATAGTTACTTACAACATCAAACCTATATTGACTGTGGGCTACGTACCGTCCATGCGCGCCTCGGTACTACTACGAATTTTCCACGTTTACTCATACTGAAATCAACGTAGCTCTGTTGTTTTTGCACAGATTTCTTTAAACTTGGTGCTGTTGTACTACTTGTTAGTTTTTCTAACCATAAATAGTTTGTGACATGCCCTAAACAAGCGCAATATTTCCGATATTTCATTTTAAAGTATTTTTAAATCTTATTTTTTGCAATAAATGTTGATTAGCGCCTGAAGTATAAGAGATAGAAGTTAGGTTGCAATAACCTTTTTGAAAGACAATATATTTAGGCGTAGATAAACGCTTAAACCACCTTTCTATCATTAACCGTTTCAGAGTTAGACGCGGAAACGTAAACCACTGACGCGCGCAACTTCCCCCCCTCCCCCCCGAGTTGTGACCACCCTAGAAATGCGACATCATCGATTTTTTTCATCTACTAGATGTCCCCAACAATAATCAAAAGTCAAATTTTGTCAGACTTTCAGTGCATACTCAACCCGTTTAGCGCCTGGACTAATAAAGAAGAGGTGGTGTCTGTGTGTGTGTTTGTATGAGCTAATCTCAAAAACTACTGGTCGGATCGGGCTGAAATTTGGCATGATGATAGCTCACATTCCCGATTAACATATAGGCATATTTTTATCCCAAAAAATCCTTCGGGGCTCCGCCCCAGTGGCTCTGGAGTTTCCCATGTTAACCTTATGAGAAATGGAATTAATGAATCTTAACAGCTGTTTCAATTAAACAAGTTGGTTCTGTTCTATGATGTTCAATAGCATTAAAAGTTACAAGGATTACCAACAGGGTTCAGCACTAGCACTATTATTTCTTTTACATTTGTGACAACAGCAAAAGGTGAGTGAGCGTAGCGAACGAACTTCAACCTGGAGGCGAGTGAGCGTAGCGAACGAGCTAACCTGAAGGCAAGTGAGCGTAGCGAACGAGCTAACCTGAAGGAAAGTGAGCGCAGCGAACGAGCTCCAACCTAAAGGTGAGTGAGCGTAGCGAACGAACTTCAAAAAGAACCGAAATTTCTTAAACCATGTCCTCACTCATAACTGCTATAAGCATTTGATACTTATATGCCAACCCCGTACGAAGGACGGGTACTCTGCTAGTCTATACTATTATAAAGAAGAGGTGGTGTCTGTGTGTGTGTGTGTTTGTATGAGCTAATCTCAAAAACTACTGAACCTATTGGGCTCAAATTGCACACACATGAAGCTACAGTTCCGAGGATACATATAGAACTATTCCCGCTTCAATATTGTCCTAGGGCTCTGCCCCGTAGGCTTTCAAAAATTGCAGGTGAGAGATTTCAAAGTAAATTTTGATTGATGGTATCCATGACAACAAAGAACAAACCTACAAAGTTTAAAAATGTAAACTAGCAGTACTAACTGTCAAATTAATTTTGATTTCACAATTCCATACAGCTGGTTCAAACATTCATTTAAATACTGCATGAATATTAGAACAGAGAGGGTAAGGATCATATTTAAAATTATCTATCTATACTATTATAAAGAAGAGGTGGTGTCTGTGTGTGTGTGTTTGTATGAGCTAATCTCAAAAACTACTGAACCTATTGGGCTCAAATTGCACACACATGAAGCTACAGTTCCGAGGATACATATAGAACTATTCCCGCTTCAATATTGTCCTAGGGCTCTGCCCCGTAGGCTTTCAAAAATTGCAGGTGAGAGATTTCAAAGTAAATTTTGATTGATGGTATCCATGACAACAAAGAACAAACCTACAAAGTTTAAAAATGTAAACTAGCAGTACTAACTGTCAAATTAATTTTGATTTCACAATTCCATACAGCTGGTTCAAACATTCATTTAAATACTGCATGAATATTAGAACAGAGAGGGTAAGGATCATATTTAAAATAATGATGTCACTATCCTGAATGTAAACATTATTTAACATTACTTAAATGGAGCTGTCAAACCATACGCTAATGTCACTTTATACTTACATGCCAACCCCGTACGAAGGACGGGTACCCTGCTAGTTTCAGAATAAAATGATATCCTCCTGATTGATTTTGCTTTCTATGATCAATTGATTGCTCAAAAATAATAAGTAGCTCTA